TGTTTATGATATTGTTGTGCCCATGGGTATTCAAAGTTGTTATTTCACTATAACATTCAATAAATAATAAAAAAACATTTCAAAATCATCAATATTATCTTAAATGTTCCATTAATCTTTTAAATATTTACTAATATATCATTCTTAAATATTTAAAAATAGTAAAATTATCTGATTACACAAATAATGAGTGCGTAGCGATTTCAATGTTGATTATCGCATGAATCTTACATGTTATACTGTAATTATTTATATAAAATAAAACATCCATTCAAAACAGCAACACATAAGTTTTTTGCTCATTCTTCTTGTGATGAATCTTGTAATGAGTTTATTTGGATAAAGATTATTTCTATTTCTATTTCAAATATAATTTTCAAATTGGGACCTAAAGGGACCCTTTAATAATATATTTTAGTCATCATATTATATTTTTTTAAGCCTTTCAATTTTAGGTTCTTAATTTTCAAATTCATTTATATAACAATGATCATATATGCTTCTTGGTTATTAATTCAATACTCACAGGTGTACTTTATTTATAGTAGCATAATGTACCTTTTCCGCTATTTTATGCATAATTGTACTAGATTAGTTAACTTTATAATAATATGATAGTTAACTCAGGATTACCATTTTTATCACGGAATAGCGTTAGTTTCCATAATATAAGTAGATATATAGTATAATAGATTTATAATAAATCCGTTCTGTCACCTGACTATAAAATCCTAAGCGTATAATATATCTAGCAATCCTCTTAACAACGGTAGGTAAGCATTCATTTGTATTCAAAGCACCATTCCACGTAATTTTGATCTCATTTGAATACAGCGAATAATAAAAATATTTTTTATAACATATATTCTTGTTGTTGATATTTAATTATGTATTTTTCAGATATTATGTAAATATAACGAATTGTTTTTGCAGTACATAGGATTTTTAGGTAACATTTCATTTCATATCATCATTACATAGTATAAAATAAAGTTGCAGTCACTGTCTAACCCTATGTATGCTTAAATCTTTACAACTACGCAACGGATTTTGAAGCGGTTTTTTTAATAGATAAAGTGATTCTAGAGGAAGGTTTATGTTTATAATACATATACACCCGTGCGAAGCCGGGGTGAGTAGCTTGTTTATTAGAAATAATAATACTTAACTATATTTATAGTTGTCTTCTGTACAATTTGATTATTCAAATGATATGACATTGATTAGACTAAAAACCTGTCAATATTTATAGTTAGTAGGCGCCAAAATATCATAATCATTTTACATTCATTGTAAAATCTAACTCACATTAGAACTATTTTATATATTTAAAATATCTAGTCATCAGTGTAGACAAGAAGAAATTTCGTACAACCATTTTATAAGGCTTTTAGTGGGTAAATTGGAAACTTGTATAGTATCTAATATTATACACACGGTTGAAGTTTCTTTGTTTGGATATTTGCAGCAATCTTCAGTATCACTTATCCAAATAGAAAAATTCCTTTAACGTTAAATAGCACATTTATAGAAACAGAAGATGGCTATATAACATCACGCTACGACCATAACAGCAATGAAAATTCAAAATGATCAGATAGTTCATATTATTTTGGTGCATGGGCGTTAGAACTTGCACAAAAGTTCATGAACAAACTTAGGTATGTATTTTTCGTAGGTATAAAATTTCAAAGCATCACTGGATAATATAAAAAAACCTGGATAACTTTCTTGTTCAAACTTTTAGTTTTCTCTAATGCTTCTAAAAGTTTCGATCAAGATTATAAAGTTGGGATCTTGTCGGGAGCTGCAATTCAGTCGCATTAGTTGATACGGACCAGATATAGTATGCTCTTTGCTGAACTGATTCTGTATTCGATTTAGAAAACCATTTTTAAGCATATCTTTGCTTGTAACTTTTTTCAAAATTATTGTTAAAACAAATTCAAAAGTATTTTAATTATTTTCACTTAAAGTTATTAGTATAGTAATTGTAAAGATTTAGAGATTGTGAAAATGCAAGAAAGTTGAATTGTTTTGGAACTTCAACGAATGAACAAATTATGCGCATTAATAATGCGAACAATTTGTTCATTTGTTTGTCAATTTTTCTTTTATTTGTCAATTTTTTTTAGTAAAAATTCTATTTTATGAATATTATATTATAACAGTCTTCTGATAACAACGTCAAATAAATTCCAGATAAGTATAGACTAATCGTATTATCAAGGGGCAAAACATTATGAATGTACTGCCCCCTGATAACATTAACTCTTTTTACGATAATCAAGTAAATAATATACTAATAATTAGTTTAGTATTAACATGTACAAGAGTGTGTCTGCAGACTCGCTTACAAGGATTTTGTGACGATCCTCATAAATCTCTGTCACGCGGGAATTCTCATGGTCGCATAAATTCGTGCCGAATGTGGAGAATATGCGTACTCGGAGCTTATTATTGTACGTGCGTATGCTATATGACGGTCATACAGTCACAAAAACATAAAAAGTTACACGTTGTACATAAATAATATTTATTTTAATTGGGCGCGTCACGGCTTTGTTATTTACTATCAGGACTTAATACAAATTAATCCGAGAAACGGCAGTAGATTTGCTCTTACTTGGTTGGCTTGGTTTATTATAAATACCCAGCTTAATAAGTAGTCTTAAGTATTGCGTTCACGCGTCGAAATGATTGACAATGCATTTTATTTATTACACCATCTGGGATAAAATTCATCAATAATATACCTTTTATTAATATAATGTCGAACTATATGCGCAAATATCTTCAGTAAATAATCGTAATTGCGTTCAATTAGCTCCGTTGCTTTAAGGTATCGTAATAGCGCTGTGGAACAAATGAAAAAAATGTTTCTTGCGTGTTTGCATGCTCGCAAAATTTTTCTGCTTTCACTATAGAGGATTTTTGTGAATTTTTTACGTTCACTTATTCGATACAGTACTGCGCCTAACAAGTTTTTCATAAAATACGAAGCGAGCTACTTAATATGGAATTAGGTTTCACATCGCGCTCGTGACTTAAAAAAATAGTACGTAGGTACTCGGTATATAAACCAAATTGCCATTAATTTTTAATACTATAATGTACTACGTCCATGGCAGCCATGTAATAATACTGCTGCTATTCTGGATAAGAGAGTTCTTATGTTAAGCCTGGTGTTTATTAAAAATGCACTTATCCTTATCGTTCTGACACTAAAAACCTATAGGTACATTCCTCATATCAGAAATTCGAATATGAATGTTAAAAAAACAATCCTAGCGAATTAGGTACGACGGGATAAATTCACTAAAAAATAATTCTGACGCTATCCAGAGTTATAAAGCAATTTGATTTCAATGTCGTCTTTTAATCACTTATTGGTCTTACTAGTGCCCTATGAGAGCATACTATTTTTAAGGTTGTAGCATTAGATGAACATATTGGATTTCAAGATCATAAGTGACAAGTACCGTCGTCTCTTGGATTAATTTAGCTTATTATCACACCGAGATATTTTACAATCTTTACATTGAAAACGTTTGACAAAAATAATTATTTACCCGTATATTTCTAAGATTTCTTTAGACCCTATATGTATAACCATGTTTAACAAATATTTCAAATTAATTGTTCCATCCATTACGTGAAACCTAAAAATAGTTAGTTTCACGTGTTTTACGATTTTCTTGCATGTAATAATAGAAACCGAAATGGTCAACTGAGCATTTAAATTCAATGTCGGGTTGTGCGGCCAGGCCACTGTACCTACAGTACGGTGCACTTGGCACATTTGTCATGCCTGAATAGGTAGTTTCGCCGTATTAACATAATGTCCGAATTGCATGTTGGTCTCAATTATATTCGCAAATTAAATTTATTTACAACATTAAAATATAACGAGGCTATAAACATTTCAGGAGACACGTGAAAAGGTCACATTGAAATGGCAGTGATTTGGATTTGAAAGAAACGAACCGAAATATTATATATGTATATTAATATAACATAATATAAGTATTTTAATGATATTTATGATGTTTTTGTGTTAAATAACATCTATAATATAACAGTATCAACGAAAATTAATTATTCGGATATTAATTAAGAGTATTTAGTCTTTGATTTCACGAAGTACCATGAAAAAATCAATTGGTTATACATGTAAAAAAAGTAATCATTAATAATTTTATTATTAATAAACATATTAAATACTAGTTAAAGTAAACATGTCTTTTTTCGCGCTTTCTTTTCGTAGATCTCGAAACAAATTTTTGATGAATCCTATCTCACAGTAATAGGCAAGTACTTACTTTATATCTTATGTCTCTAATTATACTGGTGGCTGTGCATTTATTAATATTTTTTTTTAAACATTGCCGGTAGCAATTTCGAATTTGCAGTTTCGATTAAATGACCATCAGATTCAAATTCAAAAACAAAAACATAATTTGTTTTTTATAAAGAAAATATATGGTAATCTTCTAATATAATTGTAACTCCATTCTAATAACTTAGAAAGTAATATTCTAGTTATAAATTGTGATTCACACTAATGAAACGATAGATAAGCCTTGTTTGCAATACAAATGCCGATTTTCACAAAACACGTTGTATTAAGCCTCTGTTCGTTGTTACAGCCGTGAAGAGATAAATAACGCGGCAATATGACACTAATTGCTACGGTTTACTACGCGCTCGCTACGCCGTAGCCCGGTGCTACATCACGGTCATTGGACTATGCAACAACAACGATCTCGTAGTAAAACTTTTAATTCTTATTTATAATAAAATTGATTTAGACTACTGCGCTTGTTATTTAATATGTAAGTTTTAATTTAAACATAATTATGAATTTTCTTCCGGCAAAAATCGTACAAAAATACGTAAGAAAACAATACAATTTATTACATATCTACGCGGATCTAATTACAAACTTTAATATACAAATTAAAACTGGATATACATAGTTTTGTTTTTGTGATACTCACCGCCTGGACAGCCGCCTGAAGAACTGCAACCCAGCTTATCACTTTCACATGACACAACAAATCTTTATTTTATCAGCACTCGTGAAAGATGTTTCAGATCGTCACTGTTTATATATTGGCAATACTTGGGTATACTCGGTCGAATTGTACTTTATGAATGTCAGAAAGAACGATTTGTTGTTGGGATATCGACGGCTGTCATTCGCGTGCTTGTGAAGACAGGGGGCGAGGTCGGCGGGTCGGTGTCGACTGAGCCATTCGGCGCGCACCCGCGACCCGTTTGCCGGTCGATATACGCGGCAGAATAAACACGCCGTACTAGGATGGAGAGTAACTCATGGTGTTACCAGCCTCGCCGCGCGGCACCCTCTCGGTGTTGCCATTTTGAATGTTTGCCGTGGTTTGTATCACCAACACTCGTTTCTTGGTGCCACCGCTCGGGAATTCTTATGCGAATCTCTCCCAGACTATAAATAGACGTCATTATGAATGATACTGTGTTTCCTTTCAAGTTCGTAAAGCTTTCCGAATTTGTATTCGATGAAAAAAAGTACTATGAGGCTTAAATTTGGTGTCAATATACAATATTAATTCAGTTCAGGACTTAGCTCGAAGTCAGTGGGAGTAGATGTATAATTTATATGTAACCTTCACTTATCTGTACGTTTGAGACAGATCAATTTCCATAATGGAACCATCTATAGTCAGAAAGGAGCGTTCTGCAGTTTTGTCATCCAACTATCTCTGTTACTATGTAGTTATCTTTACGAGTTACCGTAAAGAAATATCTATATGGTATAAATATCTAAATCTTAAATATCGTCTGTATATTTCATCGCTCTCCTGTCGAGTCGCTTATGTAATAGACAGAAATAACTAAGTACAAACTATTTATACACCTAGATAATATACATAGTACCGTCTAGTTAGTTTGTGCATACATCTCTTGTTTCCTAAACGTGGAGGAAGTTTACAATTCGTCTTATACCTATATATACACGCTAGTTCCGAGGAGACTAAACTTCTCCTTTAGAAAATATATTCTAAAAGCAGACTGGAATATCTATATATTGATTGTTATATAATAATTATATACATGTAAGTATTAAGTTTGGCGCTAATGTAAACTAACACTAACACTAACTAAAATAATAGGTTTCTTAATATATTGAGACATAAGAAATATGATAATTATATGTAACTAACTGACAGTGCTATTTCATCTGCTTCACATTTTCCTCGTTTCAGCTTAATGATAAATAGGCATATCTTTATAAAAGGGCTATGCAACAATAAAATATTTACTAATTCGATGTCCTCAGTAGTATAGTGGTTTAGCAAACCGCCTTACCTCCGATGGTCGCGGGTTCGATTCCTCGCAGGGTACAAACATTTTTATTCATGACGATTCATGTCATTGTTTGTATCAGTAGGGTATAAAAATAATTTTCAATATCAGCTCAGTAGTATAAGACCTCGAACATCCAAAGTCACAAACTATTTCTCTCCATAATATAAGTACAAATAAAGTATATTGAACAAAATACATATATACTTAGAACGTTAACCAATGTCGTGAGTGGTCTATACAAATGTAAATATAAAGGAATTGTAATTCCCTCATGTTGTCACAAATGTTCTTTGATGTATAATTAATTACACTTATGTTCCATTAAGCTGTTTTAATGTTTTTAAAGATATTTTTGACCTACGTAAATGTTTTGAAGGCAATTTGTCACAAGTGTTATTACATTTTTTTTAACCAAAATTTCTATATATATATATATATATAGTGCATGTTATTGACCTTTAGTTAAGTTATAATTCTATCAATTAGGAATTTTAACTTTAAATTTAAATAAATTTTAACTTTTAAATTTACACAAATTAAACATTAATTTTACAATATTGTCTTATACTTTTAAAAATGTGTTATGTATATAATTACCTTTAAAAACACAAACTTACTATTGGTCTTTGCATAAGTTCCATATATGTAGACATACAAACTCTAATTAGCTATAATGCAACTCTACCTTTTTATTAACAGGAAAATTAAAATACCTAACTTTATTCATATGACTACATAGAGAGCAGACGCCAGTATAAAATGGAATAATTTTATAAAAGGTTTTTAATTAAATTAACTTTTGTGTTCTATCTTCATTCATTATTAATTTCTGTCCCGCCAAATTGATTAATGCGCATCCCACTTACCACAGATAGTTTGATGGAGAAGTTGTTTCGATAGATTGTGTTGTTGTCATTGATTGATTATTAACAACACAACTACTGAGTAGATATTGTCAATTCAGCTATATTAGTATCTTGGTTAATTGTAAAAAAACTTTGTAGATTATTTTTATATATATTTCACGTGGCTTAAAATTGAATATGTACTGTTTTCTTAACGATAAAAGTTAGGGTTAAGTAAAATTTGTCTAAAGTAATTCTTTAAAATAATAATAAATAAAAAGTCATTATCTATATACAAACGTTGCCATTCCGTAGGACTAAGATGTTATACCTCTCATCCTGTACTAACTGATCTTATCTTTCAACCGAAAAACAGCTTATGAAGCAAACTGCTTGGTAGTTGAAATAGCTAGACAGAGGTACCCAAATAGATAACTGAATAATGTTAACTATATAAATATAAATTCTCGATTCATTAAAAAAAAGTTCAGGTTCGAAGCTGATATTCCATTGATAAAGTATTACTAATAAATGATATGATAATTTTACTAAACCGTTATATACTTTATATGAGCCTTTCCACACCATTTCATATAAATAAAGTTCTGAGTTCAGATTTCATTCAATTCAGCGGCCGACGGCCTGGTTTAGCGTTAACACAAGGGTCCTTACTCTATGATTAAAGGTCGTAAAGAGTACGTATTCTATTACACTACGTTTTCAATCTAGGCAGAAATTAAATTAGAGCGGTGCTTTCGACTTCGTAAAAACAATTACTTGCTATTGAAAAAAGCGATGTATTCGATTTAAGGTTTTATTTGTTCTTTTTTTCTTAGTATTAAAATTTTGTAGGTATCTATTACTATAATTATATATTACTTATTACTCCAATAGTTATTATAATGATATTATTAAGGTAACTATTGCAGAAATACAACAGTAATTTATTGTTTGTAAGAAACATGCTTATTTATTTATAAAAAATAATTCGTTACATTTTATGTAAGTTTTATTTCTCTTCTTAATCTATAACGTAGTCACTAGTAAAAGCGATTAATATTGTTTCCCCATTGTGATAATTATCTTAGAAGTTTAAGAACCAACCAAGTGGTTTGTAAGTTCTTGTTATTTTTATACGTAAATATACACGTATATAATGTAGGTACTTGATCAACCAATATTATTCTATTTTCTTTTACAGTATACCGACTTTACTATTACTTGCAAAGAAGATTGTATAGAAGTTTCTTTATAGCATTTCCAACAAACGATAACAATACGATACTACTGAACATGAAATAACCCCTTCTGGTACTAAAATAATGTTAGTATCGAGCTGTATTTTCGTCTACTTGATAGCTTTACTCGAAGTTCAAGATGGTCGGATTGCATTGGCAATGCATACTAAAAATAAAAAGCTAAATTTAAAATTTTATCTAGGTTGCTTGAGTACAAATATATTATTAATCATTTTATGAATTGAACGTACACCTATCATAATGTATTTGTCAATTTATAATTCTATTTAATAACTACATTTACAATGGTATTATGCTTGCAAACAAAAGCCTAATTTATTTGGAGAGTTCATTCGAGGTTTGAATTTCATTAAGTATGCTACAATAGGTTTCCATTTCGTGAATGAGGAGTGAAAAGTGCTAAATAATGTTCATAAAAGATTTATACGAATTCCTCGAAATCAGGTCTTTTTAGGCGTCCGTATCACCGAACAATCCCTGGATCGTAGTCGCTTTGTTGTCTCATACCTTTTTTACCTTTGACCCAATCTGCATCACTTGTTTCACAAAGTTACATTCTAATTGGAAATTTTGAACTAAATAACTAGAGTTACCTTCGTACTATTTATATATGGTATACTCAGTCCCAGTGTGAAATCGTTGTTCGAAACTAGTTAGCGTTGTAGTGTAATATAGCGGTTGATTCGACTTTAATGTGGGAAAGTTTTCACTGTATTATATGCGATACTGCCATTATAAATGTATCGATAGAACTTTATTACTGTATACACAAAATTAGGAATAGTGGCTGGTACCTCGTGGTTCATGTGTTGACACTAATGTGTTTATAATGAAATGTTGGCACAGGCGGCATTCTGCGGTAGGCCACGATACATACGGCTAACACCGGTAGTTAACATAACAACGCTAATATAAAATCAAAACATAATATCCCTAGAATGAAAAAAGGTAAAACATATAACAATAATTGAAGTTTCCTCATGTTATGGTTCCAAACATTTTCAATATAAGTATTATTAGGGATTAAAGCATGAAATTGCCGATTTGAAATGAAAAATTATACACGTCACTTAGAGTCAGCTCGTCACCAGGACTCGTGCAACCTAGTCGAAACGTCGAGAAAGGTATTTTACTACCTTTATTTGCTATTAAGTTTATATTATTAGCCGGTTAATACAATAAATAATAATTTATTTAATCAAAATATTTACCCTTATTATCTATACATGGCCAATCGGAACTTCATTCTGGTGGAGCAATAATCGGTGAAGATCGATTCACGAGTCGGGGCTGTTTAACTGTCAGTTTCGGCATCATTGCTCGAAGTTCGGCACGGTAAACTTCTGCTGCTATTGCTCGATCGCACCTGAGAAACTATAGTGAATAACACCATGAAGAGACCACTAAACAGTTACGATTACTTTTTAAATCTAGTCCTACATTGATAAAATAGTTAGATTTTTTGCATAGAACTGACCGTAAGTATACTATATTGTTCCAGCAAGTGTTAGTTAGTCGGATATTAGCAAGGGCTGTTTGCGTTGCTAACCATTGCTTTTTGTTAGACAAATAATGTGTAGGGGATTGTCGCTCAGCGTTAAACACGATACCGTATATACGTAACACTTTGGCTTAATTGGACATAGTGAGGAATCATGTATTTTATTTACCGCTTTCTAAACTACAAATTTATCATTCAAAATTACACGATTTTATATATGTATAATTGCACCAATTTCTTTAGTTAACAACTATCATGCAGAATAAAAATTGAGT